TGAAAGGTGAAGGCAGCGGCCCTCCCTCCGCCCCAGCCCCTCCGTCCCTCTGAGAAGACTGAGCGGAGCACAGCGCCCCCTTCGCCCCCTTCCTTCTCTTCCCTCTGACATTCCGTCTCTCTCCACGGCCTTGGAGGTGGCACATGACAGGAGGAAGTACCTGCTGCAGGTTCTTGTAAATTATAAGCAGCTTCTACCCGACCCAAGTCCAAGAGCTGATCTTGGCCATGACCCTCCTCCACTTGGTGAGGGAGGAACCCGCCTGCGGAAGGAATAGCAGGTTAGACCCCAGGCTCCCAGCTGCCTCTCGGGAGGGGCGGGGTTGGTTGGGGACTGGCCCCTGTCCTTCAGGGAGGGGCGGGGTTGGTTGGGGACTGGCCCCTGTCCTTCAGGGAGGGGCGGGGTTGGTTGGGGACTGGCCCCTGTCCTTCAGGGAGGGGCGGGGTTGGTTGGGGACTGGCCCCTGTCCTTCAGGGAGGGGCGGGGTTGGTTGGGGACTGGCCCCTGTCCTTCAGGGAGGGGCGGGGGGGTTGGGGACTGGCCCCTGTCCTTCAGGGAGGGGCGGGCGCAGGGCGACAAGCGGACTCACGCACTGAGCCCACCCTCCTGGCCAGGCCTCAGGCCGGCACCTTAAGCACATTTCCCCCCATCATTCCCCCTCGAAAAGCAAACGCCCAGAAGTGGGCGCTGTTCACTCCGTCAGATGGAGGAGCCGAGACTTGTCCAAGGGCACAGGCTGGTGAGTGGCAGAGACGGGTTTGGAGCCGTGTCGTTGGCCCCAGAGCCGCGGTGCCAGCCCTCCCCCCATAAGCACACGCCTCGGAGCAGGGCCAGGGCGCGAGCTGGCTACCCCTCATTTGCCATTTGTCGGGGAGCCCAGCCCACAGCTCCGGAGACCAGGGACCCTGAGAGCGAGGGCAGAGGGGCCTGCAAGGCGCACAGGCTGAGCGGTTGGTGCAAAGGCTCCCTGTCTACTGTGCCCGGAGGCCTGCACGCGCCCGTGGGTCGGCCAGCTTTCTTCGCCTGTTGTCAACGTGGCCCTCGGCCGCCAGGGCTGTCACCGCCCTGAGCCGGGCCCTGCCCTCCCAGCAAAGGTGCGACGAGCTGCCGCGAGGGCCGGGCCACTGCACTCGCCATAGGAACGTGTTCTCGCCGCGCGTATTTATTCGAGGCGACTCCTGCGGTTGACAAAGGGAAGTTTCACTGTGTGATCGTCTGTCTCTTAATATAATTTGTTAAATAAATGTTTTAACCTTTTCCCGGCTCGCTGCTGTCTCTGAAGCACCTGATAAAGCGCCCCCCGGCCTCCCGCTGGTCCCAGACGCCACCCCCCGACCTCCCAGCCTAGAAAGAGCTGGGGCTGCTTTGCCCGGTTTCGCTTAGACGGCTGGTCCCGCGCCAGGAGGATCAGGAGGCCGGGCCAGGCCTCAGGAATGCCCCTGGAGCAGGAAGTCCCCGTTGTCACAGCGAGGAATGCAGGCCTTTCATCTGCGCCTGCCCTGGAGCCCTGTCTGTGCAGAGGGCTGGCCCGGTGGGGGACACGCAGCTGCGCGGTTTCGGTCCCGGCGCGGCTCACCTGCGTGTGAGACGCCGCTCCCAGCGCCAGGGGGGGCGGCAGGGCCCGGGACAGCGGCTCCCTGTGAGGAGCGACAGTTCAGGTTTCACCATCAAAGCCCTTTGCCTTTACAGGTGACCTTTGCATGTTTGGGCTCGACAGCGTGGTCTGGGCCTGCACTGCCTCCAGCCCTGTTCATGCTGGACTCCGGCGAGACCGGGGTGACCCCGAGGGTCCCCACAAGTGTCAGCGCCTCCAGCCCAGGCCCCGCCTTTGGCATCCCTCAGCAGGAGGAGAGGAAAAACCCCGGAAAGTTAATTTCATGAGGAGTCTGAAGAGCTGGGTTCAAGTTCTGGCTCTGCTACATCCTTCAGCCGGTGGCCCAACCCGTCAGGATGGGGACCGGGCCTCCCTCGGTGGCCTGGCTCACCTTGGGAAGGCGGACCGAGGACGTTCGCAGGGCGTGTAGCATGAGCAGAGCCCAAGCGACACGCGGGTCCCCGTCTGGGGCCTGGGTTCTGTGGTGCCGTCCAGAGCGTGTGCTGAGTCCTGCCCAGGGCGGGTCACCAGCAAGTGCAAGTGGTGGCCTTTGGCATCCAGGACCCAGAGTCTGACTGCGAGAGGCCTCAGGGGAAGGCAGATGGACGGGTGCTCAGAGCCCGGGAGAGGCACCTCACACACTGGCCTGGGGGGCAGCAAAAAACTGAAATCCACACACAGCGGCCAAGGCCAAGGCAGGGTTAGTAGCCAGACCCAGGGGACACTCTGAGCCCACAGCAGGACCTGGCCAAGCCTCAGAGAGGCCAGAGCAGGGAACACCTGTTTCTCCTGTCTTGCCCACACCACCTCGTCTGCCTCTACCTCCCATTCTCTTGCACCCTGGCTCTCCCTCTCATGTTCTCTGCACACCAGCATTCTTGGCACATACAAGTGGGTGTACACACAGTCACCCAAGTTTACACATGCTCATTCAGAAGATCCAGAGGCAAGAGTCCCAGGTCAGACTCTGATTGGCCGGCCTGGGTCAGGTGACCCCTTCTATTCCTGGTAGCTCTGGCCCAGGTGGGAGGGGGGATATGTGATCACAGAGTATCTGGAACCAGTTTAGGTTTGGGTCCTATAGAGGCATCTGCTACAGAGGAAGGCAGGACTGTGGGCAGAGGGGTGGGAGACCTTCCAGGAAGACAGAAAAGCACCCCACCAGGACACCCAGGTGGCTGCTGGGAACTGTGAGGTGGGTGACGCATCATTCATCCTTCCATCCATCCGTCTAGCCATCCAAGTTACGTGTGAGCACCTTCCATATGCAGGCCCTGAGCCGGGCACTGGGATTCATATTTGCTCCTGGAGGAAGGGGTACATGTCTCACTTATTATACTGCCCTCCCCAGCCACAGAGATACTCCATCTGAGCACCAGCACAGGCCCAGAAAAGCAGCAGGCGCAAGCAAATACTCTGAATAAATTTCCTGAAGCCGGTGGGGAG